AGATTGGCTGCTGGGCAGCTCCCCTGCCCCAGCCGGGGGGGCGGGGGCTCCACATGCCTGTGGCTGCACCAGGAATCTGCGAGCTAGGCTCCTTCCTGAGTGAGCAGAGCTGGATTCACCAGCAGCATCTCTGAGACCACAGCGGGGCTTCGGGTTTCTTGGTCCATCACCTGGGATTGGAGTGTCAGTCCCAGGCTCTCCTCAGCCTCCTCGTTCAGACCGTGCCTGGGACACACTTAGTGAAAGCAGCATTTCTTTATATGTCCACAGGTCTTTGATTTAAGGCCGTGGCTAGTTGAATGTTCAGGGCCCAGATGCTGCCCTTTTGGTTTGAATTTAACATCCCTAAGGACGGTGGAGGCGCTTATTAAGCCTCCTGTACCCCACTTGATGTATTGTATTATCCCCTCCATTTTCCTAGTGAAAACCTGAGGAGCGTAGAAACAATCCATCTTGCGCAAGGTCTGTCACGAAGTCGGTGGCACAGTGGAGAGTCGAACCCAGGAGTCCTGGTTCCTTGCTTTAACCACTAGCAAGCAAAATTTGCTGTCCTTAAAGTGCCAAGTAAAGGTGGAGTTTCTGCTAAGCTGTTTGCCCCGTCACAAGCTGCCAAGGGACTCAGACGTCTAGGTAGTCTGGTTCTCTTTGGCGTGTCTTTTCCAGCAATGCTGTGGGTCGTTTGTCACCCTGTGTCCATGTATCCACCTTCTAATAAATCCTCTTCTGCTGGCCAGATGTTTGGCACATCGTCTAGAATCCAGCGAGCTGTAAATTCAACTCCTGCCTCTGCTACGAGAAGTCCCTGCGCTGTCTGGAGAGACACCGGTGGGGGGACAGGAATGTATCCCATTGTATATCTTTAACGCAGCAACTCTTCCGTCACTTCTGGCCGTGGTTGTGCTAGACCGTACAAGCGAAGCAGGTTCAGACTTGGTTGAATTGGAGAATCTGCAAAGAAAAGCCCTGCAGGCTGGGACTGAGGGACATGGGGCAGCTGCACATACCTGCTGTTTCTGCTGTGATGGTGCTGGGCAGACGGTGAGCCACTTTCATGAGCACCAGACTTGTCTGATCTAGTAGCTGAGGAATGGACAGACACCGGTGCTGAAGCAGAACTGTCTAGGGCCTCTTCACGGGGCAAGGCCTGTTTGCATCCTGATGCCAGCCTCCCCACCCTAGAGGTATTACGCCCTGTCTGCACACGTTAGCTGTTTTGGTTTTTAAACGTGACCTGTTCTTCTTATTGGAACAGAGTCTAAAAGAGACTTTGCTAATCGCCCCAGATCTGAGATGGCAGGGGAGAACTGGGACTGCTCTGAAGAGTCCCTTTCCTTGAGGAATCGGTGTTTACAAGCTGCCTCTTGCCTGAAGGCCTAAATGCCAACAAGATGGATGCAGATCCAGCCCCACGAGCCTAAGCAACAGCGGGTCGGGGAGAGGTGCAAAGCCAGAGCTCTCTGCATCTCTCCCACCAGACACAGCAGACGTCCCTGCTAGAGCATAGCCCACGCTACGGCACGCTCCAGCGGAAACCCGGGCTCCCGCTTTGCTGGTTCCTGGGCCTCTGGTGGATGCCTGTCTGTGCAGCGTCTGGGTGAGGTACTGCTGAGTGGGGGTGCATTGGGGCTGGGCTGTCCTGGTCCAGGACTGTTGCTCACGGGCACTGTGGTGAGTGGGACGGGACGTTGCGTGGGGAGGTATGAATATTTTCGTGAGCTCTTTCTGCAAAGGTTTGGTTCCCCATCAGTCTCGTTGTTGTGGAGAGCGCTGTCTCTAGGGGAGCCCTGCTGGGCCCGGTGTCACCCCTGGGGCCGTCTCGCCTGGATCTCTGGTTCAGGGAGGCGCTGCATCCAGGCAGCTTGGGCTGATGTGGCCATGCAGGTCTGGCCATTGATTGTGAGTCTGTGGGGCCATCTCTGTGCAGAGCTGCCCTCCCACAGCACAGCAGGGAGCGTGGGGGCCTTTCCCTGGGCAGTCAGCGGCTCTGGGTTGGCACTGGAGGCCAAGCTGCCACAGAGCCCGTGAGTTCCTCAGCAGGAACCTGGTGCTTGAGCTGTGCTGGCTTGGTGGCCCATGGAAGGGTCCCAGCCACCGAGGCTTTCTTCCCTCTCATGCGTGGGAAGAGCTGGCTGGTAAGTCTCCAGCACGTGCTTTGTGCCGTGGAGCACTCGGGGCCCAAGCCTGGGTCAGGCCGTGATCTGCCCCAACCCGCTGTGCCCATCCGAGGGCGCAGAGGCGTCACTCCTGCCCCAGCCTTGGTGAGCGTGACCCCCCGGGGCTACAGACTTTGGCTGCTGGGATCTTGGCGTGGCAGGCGGGGCTCTCGGCCACCAGCAGGCAGCAGGACCGCTGCAGGGACTGCTCTCTGGAATGTCCTCTGGCAGCGGCGCAGCTTCCAAGGGCCGCGGACTCCCTGAGGCCGGCCAAGCTGAGTGTCGGGGGCCGCGTGCTCAGCGCCGCAGCTTGTACCGTGTGGCCCTTCTCCTCCCCCGCGCAGCTCCTCTCCCCCTGCGAGCAGTTAGACAGAGCAATTGGGCAGGCACTGGGACAGCAGCACTGACATCAATCTCTCCTGGTGTGGAATGAGGGGTATAAATATCCAGAGAGTGATGTGATCTTTCCAGCTGCTATTAATAGGCCCCTAGAGAGAGCGAGTGAGCGAGCGAGACTGGCTGACACTTAAAGGGCTCGCAACTCCCTTATGTGCTGTGAAAATTAATCAGCACCGTGGCTCACCATCTTCCTCCAGGCTAGAGCAGAGCCCTCGGCTGGTGTGCGGGGACCGGGGGAGGGAGCTGCTAATGACTTGCTAGTTAGGAAGCAGCAATAGGCCAAGCGGGGCACGAGGGATCCCACCTGGCTGGCGAGAAGTGCTGGGGAGGACTGAGCAGCGCCAAGTGCCCCGACCTCTCAGCAGGGCTTCGTGCGCCCAGCCTCATGGTGCTGGGGGTGCAGGTCTTGTGATGCCTGCTTGCAGGTAGGGAAACTGAGGCAGGGGCACACAAGGAACTTGCCAAGTGTCTGCAGGGAGCTCATGGCAGGATGCCGGGGTTTTGTTCCCGGATGACCTGGCCCTATGCTGTCACCATCTCTCGAGCAGCCTGGCTCTGGGATGTGTGAGCCTATGTCAGCTTGGCTGGGGTCTGATCTCAAGCCGCAGTGGATACAAGGCTTGTCGTCGTCTTGTTGTCTATCCCTAGGCTGCTCTAAGCAGGTCAGGGAGGGCATCCGTCCGGCTGCTGAGCTGGTTCACTTCTGTTTAGAGCCTCAGGGTTTGGGCCGGGCCCAGGGCTTCCGGCCCCTGAGCAGCAGGAATAACTGCACCCGGTGCCTAGGCTGGGCAGGACAGCCCGGCAGAGCAGGTGGGTGATTCTTCCGTCCTGGGGGGGGACGGCAGGGTGTGCAAACAGAAGAGTCATCTGGAAGCAGCACCGTGGTCTCCCCAGGCAGCCGGCTCGTGTCTCCCCAAGAGAGCTGCATGGGCAGTGACAAGTGATGGGTCTGTCTGGCGGCCTGTGCTGTCTAGCATCTCCAGCCAGGCACTTCCTGGAGTGGGTCGGGATGGGTGCTGCCGCGCTTCCCTTGCAGGAGCTGAGACCCTCTCGCAGCGCTCACGTGCCAGAAGTGGGGCCAGGGCACTGCTTTCTACCCTGCATCCTGGCTCTGGCCGCAGCAACCTTGGGGGCATGTGCCCCGTCCTCCCTGAGCAGTGCTAGGCCCAGTGGCTGCAGTCACTAGCCATTGGACTTTGGGGGTGCCGGCAGCTGTCCAGAGCCCTGCAAGTGCCAGGCAGCCAGATGCGATCCCAGAGCACAGGGCAGGGCAGTGGGGGCGGGGGTGGCAGGACCCTCCCTTCCCTCTTCCGAAGCCCCATCTAAGCAGGCTACATACTGTCTCCCCATCCTACAGGCTGCCTACGGGGTGGTTCAGAGAGCTGCGCCTCCCCAGGCGGGGCTCAGGAGGGCATCGCTATGCTCCTTCTGGCATCCTCCTGCTCCCTGGCATCATCTCACCCAGCTGGCCTGGAGCATCCCCTCTCAGGACAGGACAAGGTGTGTGACCTGGAGAGTGGGGCAATGGAGAAGATTGCCTGGCAGGTTCTTCCCCTGCTCCTGCTCCAGCCAGCGTCTTCCTTCCTCCTGTCCTGCAGCTCCTCAAAACAGAGCCCCTTTCTCTCCCCTCCACCACGGCTCCTCGTCCCTTCTCAGGACTCTCCACTGTGTCTGTCCCCTGGCCACGCCCCTGTCTGTGGGGACGGGGCTTCCCATGTGGTTTGCCAAGAGCTTGAACTTCAGTGGCTGTGGTTGCTCCAGACCCTGGCACAGGGTCCTGGGTTCTGGACTCTGCATTTCTGCTCTGAGTCGGAGTTGCTCTGACCACAGAGTTGCTCTGCACATGGCAGATGGTGCCCAGAGCACTTCCATGTGAGAGAGAGCATGTGTGCACGAGGAGCACCCATAGCCAGCAGGGGCAAAGGGCGACGTACCAGGGTGCACGTGCCGCTGCTGTGCTGTGTCTTGTGCAGCCACAGCACGGCAGATTCTCCATTAGCTCAAGTGGTCAAGACCTGGTGTGCGTCACTGGCCCTGTCTCTGCTGCCCCTGGGAAGTCCCAGCAGCCCCGAGGCACAGCAGAGCCAGAGCTGGGATTCCCGGGGGCTTTGGGGCAGCGTAACACTCAGCTACGCGCAGCTGAGAAAACGCCGTTGTGCCGATTCTGTCGTCCTGCCAGAAACGCCCTCCAGAGTGTGCTCGGGGGAGTCAGGGTCTCGGGTTGTTCTCACGGAGTCCGACCAGTTCCCCTTTCAGACTGTGGTTAGGCTCGCACCGTTGCCTTGTCCTAGCACTGTCCAGTGGGACAGCTCTTGCGGATTAGGACCTGCTGGGCCTTGGTGATGGCACAGTGGGCCAGGTACTCTCTCAGTGGGGCAAGGGCGTGTGGGTGCAGATGCCCTAGCTGAGATGTGGTGGGGTGCCAGGGCGGGGGGGGTCTGTAGCAGGGTGCGAGCAGCTTACTGACCCCTGTCTCTCTTTGCAGGTGTTTGACCAAAGGGAAGCAGCAGCAGCAGCAGCAGCAGCAGCAGCAGGGACTTCGAGCTCCGTCTACTGTCGCTGCCAAAAGTTTTAGCCAATCAAATGCACCCTGACAATAAACTGACCAATCATGGAAAGACAGGTAACAGTGGTGCCCAGTCCCAGCACCATAATGTGAGCCAAGGACCCACCTGCAACCTGGGGTCTAAGGGCGTGGGGGCGGGAAATCATGGCGGCAAAGCCAGTCAGATTTCTCCTGGCAACTCTGGACTGAAAAACAGCCAGAACGCTCTCCCGAACTTCGGGTCCTTGAAGGGCAAAGGGAAGCGGGAGCGAAGCATCTCGGTGGACTCGGGAGAGCAGCGGGAAGCCAGCACCCCCTCGTTGGACACGGAACCGAAAGGTAATGCTCACGCAGGCCTTGCCCGGGCGGCTCTTCCTTCTGTTGCCCCTTGCCCCTGGCAGCCGCTTGCACCCAGAGCCGTCGGCGTCCGTCACCCTCCCTGCAGCACGGCCCCCCGGGCGGGCTGGGAGCTCCCTCCATGCTGGGCTCGTCTCCTGGTGCCCTAGCGGGAGGTGCTGGGATGGTCAGGGTGGGTGTCTTCTGCCCAGCTGGCCTCGGGGCCTGCCCTGCACTGTAGCCCCTGGCTGGCAGCAGGTGGGGTGTTTCCCACGGGCTGCTGGGACCTGGTGGGCAGCAATGTGGTCACGGGTGTCAGGCCAGCCCCAGTGGGCAGGTGGGAAGCAGGTCCTGGGATTGGTCTGCTCTTCTGCGGCTTGTGGCAGAGACTGGATGCCGTGGTGGTCAGCAGGGCGGGGGGCAAGCCTGGCTGGCTGAAGAGCTACGTGGTTTCGCTCATGGGGGACAGCTCCTGTGTGGCTTCTGGAAAATGTCTGAACCAGCACTCCTCCCTCTTGGGAGCCTGGGGCAGCCTGTAGGCTCCGTGGAGCACAGCCATGCCCAGGGCCTGCGTGGGGCACTGGAGAAGACTTGGGAGCACAATGCCAATGCCTTGGAAAGCAAGTTCCTTGGGCAGCATTCAAGTTTCCACCCAGAGCTGTCCTCTTGTGTTGGCCTGAAGCAGCTCTGCACAGAAGCAGCACGTCTGCCCTGGCCCTTGGGAAACATGTACGGATAATCCAGGTTGTGTGTGGATGCCTGCAGGAAGGCAGGAGCTGCCAGGCTAGGCCTCCAGCTGGGCCAGCATCCTCCTGAGCAGCCAGCACCAGCTGCCTCACAGGGTGCAGGGGTGTTGGAGTGGGCTTTGTCCTGCTACTTGGAAATGTTTCTTCCCAGCCACGTGCGTGGGAGCTGGCTCGTGCCCTGGGGCTTGTCTGATTAGCTGGGGTTGCTCATGTTCACCATGTGAATTCACAGAAGCCTGCTCTGCCCTAGCTTTGATGTGGATGGGTCATTGCAGGGGACTCAGCATTGGGTGCTTGAATCTCCTGCCATTCCCTGGCCCCCAGGTGTGGGTGCCATCATGTCTGACTCTAATGCAGCTGCAGGCCGCTTGTCCGCGTGACAGGGGCAACAGGGTTCAGAGCAGAAAATTGGCAGCTACTGCTCCGGCGTCTTAGTCCAGGCCCTGCCACTGCCTGTTCCTGTGTGACTAGGACAATGTTTCCCTCTCTAAATCTGCCCCGTTGGTGGACTGGCGACAGGAGCTGAGTGTGCACAGTGCTCTGGGACTCCAGGGGAGAGGTGTCCCCAAAGGGTGAAGCAGTATGTGCAAGTCCCCTCCCATTCCCAGTATGCATCCCCGACACCAGTGCTGCGCCTTGCGCTTGGTGTCCCGGAGCAGAAGGTGGGCAGTGTCTGGGTTTGCTGGCTCCTTCTAGTGAATAATGCGTGTCCCTCCAAGCTGCCAGCTGTGACAGGGAACCTCAGGACAAAGCTCTGTGATGCCCCCGCCACAGACTACAGGGCCGTCCTGGTTGAACGCCCCCCCCACCCCGGCAGGCCTGAGGTGAATAGCAGGGCTCTGCTGAATGCCTTGATGCTGGGATGGAAGAGCAGATCTTTGCTGTCTGTGGCTGTCCTGATGCTGGCAGTGTGTGGGGCTGCCCCAGCCTCACCTGCTTGCTGCCTCTTGGCACCTGATGCGGGCAAGACAGGCCAGGTCCTGAGACCAGTGAAAGCACAGGGGAGTAGCTGCTTTCCTGCCTGCTTCCTTGCTGAAGGACTTAGCTCTGGGAGCATGAAGCCATCTGCCAGTGATGGAGCTGAGCCTTCCCCCGTGCAGCCTGTGGCTGCTGCTCCAGCCAAGGCGAGCGGCTGCCAGGGCCCCCAGCTCTCACGAGGCCATCCCAGCCCTGGCCCAACAGAAACCAGCTGTTGTCCATTACCTGCTGGGCTGGGAGGGCTGGCATGTGACTTTGGTCATAAACAAACCAAATGGCCCGTCCTCTTGGCTGCGGCACCTGACTGGACCAATGGGGAGGGATCTGAGTGCGAGGCTGGGCTGTCAGGAGGGAGGCTGGCGTGTCTGGCTGAGGGGGGAGCTGCCCTGGGCTGTGGGGGTCTGAACCCCATCCGGGGCAGCGAGTGCTGGTGCCGTGTTGGGAGACCTGGGCTAAGGCCGAGCGAGGAAGCTCTGGGCTGGATACCAAGAGAAGTGCCTGGCACTGTGCTGGCCGGGGGGAGGAGGGGAGAGTGGGGCTGTTTCCACAGGGAGGGTTTGGGAGCCCTGTGGCTCAGCACCTCCCAGCCAGTCAGGGCAAAGCCTGGGGAGCTGCCTTCCTGGGGACAGTCCTTCCAGCAGCCTCTGATGAGCCTCCCCCGGCCCCTTCCCCACCCGTTACTCCAGACTGAGGTTTGTGAATGGAGGAGATGGCTGGTATCCACTGAGCTGTCCCCTCCATGCTCCAGCAGCTGCTCTGCCCCCATGAAGTGCCTGGGCCGTGGCTGCGAAATGGTGCTGGGACTTGGGCACCTGACAAGCAACCTTGCGTCCACGTCAACAGCCCTGTGGTGGCAGCCTGGGCCCCCGTGAGTAGTGGCTGCATCAGAGCAGGGGTGCACCAGCAGCACCTGGCCTGGGCCCCGACCCTGCTCGCGGCAGCTATGCTAGCCGTGCCTCAGGCACGTGCAGCCAGGCATTGCTGCTGAACTGTTGCGGCCTGGTCCCTGGCCTCACGGCAGGCCTGAGGCGGGAATAGAGTCTTCGTGCCTTGACCCTCAGGTTGATTTTGCCAGCTTGGGCCTGCCTGCCTGGGGCTGGTGAGGGTGAGCGCCCTGTGGCCCATGGCTTTGCCATTCCAGTGTGGTGACGCGGTCTGTCCCCTGCAGGTGAGGTGGCTCCTCGCAGCAAGCGGCGGTGCGTTCTGGAGAGGAAGCAGCCGTACAGCGGGGACGAATGGTGCTCCGGCCCAGACAGCGAGGAGGACGACAAGCCTGTCAGCAGCGCACACAGTGAGTGCCCCAGTTTGCCCTGTCCCTGCATTGTGGCCCACGCAGGCTCCCAGAGGACAGCTGGCCTTGCAGGTCACGGGTGGGGGCTGAGTGTGGCATGTGCATCGTCGGGGCAGAGCTGTAAGTGTGTTGCTGCATGGGTGGCACGAGAGAGCTGCTGGGGAGTAGCTGAGGTGCAGTCTGCGGGGCACGAGGGGCACATTGGACTGGATCAGTCCCTCGCCCTGCCTCTGGAGGAGGCACTTTCCCCCGTCTCCTCCTCAGTAGATGGGCCTTGCTGTTCATAGCCCATGCTGGCGCAGCTCCGCAGCAGGACACATGGAGGGGCCTTCACATACTGTGGGTATCTTCCCACACCGTGCTGCTGACAGTGCCTGTCAAGGGCTCAGGTCTCCATCGCTGCCATCAGCTCCAGGGTCACTGCAGCTGTTTTTGGAGGTAGCTGCAGTCTGGTTTCAAATGGATGGGTAAGAGCTTGACAAGAGTCTGGTCAAGCCTGAGTTAACTAGCACACACCACACTTGCTTAATTCCTGGTCAGGGCTTTTAACTTGATTTAAAGGCCAGCTCAGGTTGAGGCCTGGGCTGTTTTTTTGTAAGTCCCTGGAGAATGGTGAGATTTATCGATAGATTTTTAGCCTCCGCTTCCTTGGTTCCCACTGCACCCTCCTCTGCTGCCCGCATCTGGCTGGTGTGTTACAGATGCCTCATTGCTCTTTGGCCTGGAAACAAGTCACTACCTGGAACCATCCTTCCTGTTTGGCCCCAGGACTCCAACATCTGGGGTCGGCAGAGGAGCGCCCAGGTGTCCCCCTTGGTGTGTCTGTGCATCCCTGTCCCCTCTCGTCTCCGCCTTGAGCTTCTGGCCTCGGTTACATCCTTTGTGTGGCAAACTGAATCGTGCAAAGGTGACATTGTTACAACGCTGCGAGGCTCCAGGTGTGAATCGGAGCATGGCCCTAGGGTTCCCAGAGCACTCCCAGTGCTTATACTTCAGGCTGCAGATCTCATAGCTCTTAACTGCACTTTCTGGGCCAGATTTCCTGTTGTTACCTCTCCTGTAGAGGCTTCTCTGGTCACTGCAGGGCTGTGCAGCAATCCTGCTGCCTCTGCCTAGAAGCTGGTAGAATGCGAAAGTCCGGAGCAAGTGTTTAGACATTGCTGTGGCATGGGAAGCCCTAGTGTAAGCATCCTGCCCTCTGCCGGGCGGGCGTGCGGCTGGCTGCAGCCGGAGGAGGAGGGATAAGCGCATCAGGACCTACAGAGCAGCCCTTGTGCCTTGCTCTGCTTTGCAAGCTGATTAGGTGTGCAGGTGGCCATTTGAGGCTCCTTGTTGTGGATCTCTGTCGGGGGCAGCATAGTCCAGAGCACAGTCTATGAGCTGGGAGCCAGAACTCCGGGGCTCAGCACTTGGCTCTGGTCGTGGTTCACTAGGTGAGCTGGGGCAACTCATTTCCCTGCCGCGCCCCTCCCAACGAGGCAGTGGCACTAGCTTACCCTTTCAAAGGGGCTGGAGGTCCATGTTGGGTGCCAGGTTTGAGCCAAGGGCTGCTTTTCCTGAGGCTGCCAGATGCAGCCCAGAGTGGGCCCTGCCCATCGGCCTCTTTTGCTGCTTGCAGGCCTGGAGGGCCCTTTTGCAGGGGTCCCTGTCCTGCACTGCACTGCCGGCGCCAGGGGCTTGTGGGGCAGGACAGCTGCTGCCAGATGTGTGCTAGCCTGTTCAAGGTGCCGGTGGTGATAAGCAGATGCCAGACACCAAGTGGTGGTGTTGTTAATTACAGCTATCTTTAATATTAATTAAGGGCATTATTTAATAATGATGGTGATCATTGCTCCTGCGTGGTGTCCGTCGTCGCCCCCCCCCCCACTGCTGCCCAGCTGTCCCTGGGGCGGGGTGGGCATGGGGCAGCTCCGCCTGCCCCAGGCAGAAGGGCAGGAGCCCTGGCCCTGGCTCTAGGTCACTGCCACCCGTGGTGGGAATCCCTGCCCTGTGCTGCCATCTGCCGGGCACTGGGGGAACGTGCAGCCTAGGCTCTCCTGTGGGGCCAGGGACCATGTGTGGTCTCTCCCCTCTGCCTTGTGTTCAGACAGTGTTGTTACAGGGTGGAGCAAGGGGCAGAGATGCTGCCTGCTTCTCCTGCATGTGCCGTCAGCCCCAGCCTAAGACCCCTGCTCTTCCAGCCACAGACACGCAGTACTGTGGCCAGTGCCCCTCTGTCCCGATAGGCAGCCCCCCCAGGTCTGAGTCCTGGGCTCCCTAGTTCTCCGTGCCCAGCTCTAATTGCCCTGCTGCAGGCAGTTGGCACGTGCTTTGTTGTGCTGGCTCTGGGGTGCTGCCTGGCTGCTTCTGCTGCGTGGGCTGTGGTGTAAGGGCTCTGCTCTTGTCCTTCCCACAGATTGTAATGTAGCAGATCCTGCAATGTCCACAGCTCCGCAGCTTGGGCCAGGGTCCAACCCACTGCCAAGCCTGAATGAGACCGGTTCTTCCAGCACCCCACATGGCGCTACCCCCGGCCTGCGGCCTGATGGTACAGGGAGTGGAAGTGGCAGCACTGGAAAGCAGCCTTCCCAGTTCGTTTACGTCTTCACCACGAACCTGGCCAACACGTAAGTGGCAACCCCTCATCTGGCGGAGCTGCAGGCACAGCTGCCTCTGCAGGTGACAGGGAGGCTCCCTGGGCCTCTGGCTTGCACTGCATGGGTCTCCAACTGCATTCTTCCAGCACTGGCTTCAGGGGCCCTATTAGAGGTACTTCACACTGATTAGGAGCTTCCTCCCAGTAGTGCTCACATGCCGCCTTCCTGCATGACAGCAACAGGCACAAAACAGAATCAGTGGGAACAGGGCAGGATCCGGGCTAGGTGGACTGATGGCTCGATTCAGACTGTGCCAGGGAGAGCAGACTTCAGTGAGTCCCAGCACCACGCAGCTTCGTCCTTGTATTCTGCTGCACAGCATCTGGCTGTGCAGCTGTGGAGTGCCTGGCTGGTTTCACGGGGCATATCTGAAGGTATTTCCCTGGCACACTGGATCCACGCAGAATCTGTGGTTACTGTGCAGCAGCCAGTGCTGAGCACAGCACAGTGTGCAGCACTGCAGGTGGGAGAAGGGAACTGTTGAGGCAGTTGCAGTCTCATTAGAGAGAGACTGTAGGGTCCGCATACAGCAGGTAGGAGTGCAGTCCACTGCCCTGCTAGGCCCATGCCCCACACAGTGAGCCCTGGGCTTCCTCCATTCCCGTGGAGAAAGGGAAGGCAGAGATTGTCTTGCTGGGGCCTGTGGCTCCAAGGTGGTGCTGCTCTCTACCAGCTCTTGGCAGTGCGTTTGTGTGTGTTTGTGACTGGCTGTGCTCTTTCCTCAGTGCTGCAGAAGCTGTCCTGCAGGGCCGCGCTGACTCCATCCTGGCCTACCACCAGCAGAACGTTCCCCGGGCAAAGCTGGACCAGGTATGGCTGGCATGTGCCGGCACTGCCTTTGGCACCTGCTGCTGACTCAGGCCCCTGGCCAGCGCCACGGCCATCACAGCCTGCCCCCAGCCTGCTCCTTGCTCTCTGCTGAGGGGGGAAGCAGCTCAGCTGCTCTGTGGAGGAAGGGGCTACCTGTGGGGAGGGGGTACAGGAGGATGCACCTTTGTGGGACCCATTCAGAAAGGGCTGCTGGCAGGGGGTATGCAGCAGGGTTCAGGGTCCTAGGGCAGAACACTATTGTGAATGTTCGCCACTGACTGCCACCTCCCCTTCCTCCACCAGGCTCCAGCTCCCAAGGTGCTGGCGGGTGCTGAGCAGCTGCCCATTAACCCGCCTGCTGCCAACACTCCACAATCCCAGCCCCCCGCACCTCAGGGCAGTCAGTCACAGCCACAGCCGCCCCCAGCCCAGCCGCCGCCCCCGCCCCAGGGCATCACCCCGACCGCTCTGCCCACGCCGGTGGCCCTGCCCCAGGAAGGGGCTGGAGATGACGTCCGGAGAGACCTGACTCCCAACTCTGTGGGGAACAGCAGCAGTAGCAACCAGTCTGGAAGCAACCACCCCAACACGCCCACAGCCACTGCCACTGCCATGCAGCCCGGGCTGGGGGACTCATCCAGCACCTCCACCTCCACCTTGCTGGGGGATGGCCCTGGCCCTGGCCCTGGCCCTGGCCCTGGCCCCGGCCCCGGCCCTGGCTCTGGCCCTGGCCCTGGCACAGCTGGGAACGGGCAGGCCGGGTTGGGCCCCAGGAACCCCCTGAACTCAGAGGGCCTCTCCAAGGAGCAGCTGGAGCACCGGGAGCGCTCTCTGCAGACTCTGCGGGACATTGAGCGCATGTTCCTGCGCAGTGGGGAGGCTGAGCCCTTCCTGAAGTCCAACCAAAGCACCAGCGAGGGCAGTGCTGCCCCCCAGCCACAGCCTCCCCCTGCCCAGCCCCCGCCACCACCTACTGCCATGAAGAAATATGAAGAGCCCCTGCAGTCTATGATCTCCCAGACGCAGAGCCTAGGGGGGCCCAGCCTGGAGCACGAGGTCCCCCACCACCCGGGCTCTGACATGGGCCAGCAGATGAACATGATGATGCAGCGCCTGAACCAGGATAACCTGACCCCAGAGCAGGTGGCCTGGAGGAAGCTGCAGGAGGAGTACTATGAGGAGAAGCGGCGGAAGGAAGAGCAGATTAGCATCCATGGCCGGCCCATGCAGGAGATGATGATCCCTCAGTCCATGAGTGGCATGATCATGCGAGGCCCGCCACCACCCTACCACAGCAAGCCTGGGGAGCAGTGGCCACCGGGCATGGGCAGTCAGCTGCGAGGGCCCATTGATGTCCAGGACCCCATGCCGCTGAGGGGAGGCCCCTTCCCAGGCCCGCGGTTCCCTGGCAGTCAGATGCAGCGGGTCCCTGGCTTTGGTGCGATGCAGAACATGCCCATGGATGCGCTCGGGCCCATGAATGCCATGCAGCGGCCAGTCAGACCCGGCATGGGGTGGAGTGATGACATGCCCCCCATCGGGGGCCCTGGGAACTTTCCACAAGGGAATCTGCCCTACCCTTCGGGACAGGGGGACCCTGAGCGGTTCATGACCCCCCGAGCCAGGGAGGAGATCCTGAGGCACCAGCTGATGGAGAAGCGCCCCGTGGCAGTGCAGAGGCCCATGGGGATGTCGGGCAGCTCCATGAGCCAAGGCATGGAGATGGAGAGGATGATACAAGCTCACCGGCAGATGGACCCATCTATGTTTCCTGGCCAGATGCCAGGGGAGAGCTTGGGTGGTGCACCCCTGGGCATGGACTTCGCAGGGACCAGAGGGATGCTGAGTCCACCCATGAGCCAGTCAAGCCTCCGCGATATGGACACGCCCCTGGGCCCTGGAAACCTCAACATGAACATGAATGTCAACATGAACATGAACATGAACCTCAACGTCCAGATGACGCCGCAGCAGCAGATGCTGATGTCCCAGAAGATGAGGGGCCCTGACATGATGGGCCACCAGGGCATGAGCCCAGAGGAGGTGACTAGGGCGAGAGCCCAGAACGGCAGCAGCAGCGTGATGATGGGCACGCCCCAGAAAATGATGATCCCTTCGCAGTTTGCCAGCCAGGGCCAGCAAGGCTTCCCCAGTGGCCAGGGCCCCTATCACAGCCTGCCCCAGGAGATGGGTAGCTCCTCGGACATGTTCACCCCTGAGCAGGGTACCCTGCCTGTTGGCACCATCGGCAGCACCACCAGGCTCAGTCACATCCCCTTACCACCCGCCTCCAATCCCCCTCCCAGCCAGGGGGCCAGCATCCACCCGGCACCTTCGCGGGGCCTGGGCCGCCGGCCCTCCGACCTCACGATCAGTATCGGCCAGATGAACTCTCCTGGCATGGGCCATCTCAAATCCCCGACGCTCAGCCAGGTGCACTCGCCCCTGGGTACTTCCCCCTCAGCCAACCTCAAGTCCCCGCAGACGCCCTCGCAGATGGTCAGCGTGCCGCCTGCCAACCCAGCCGGGCCCCTCAAGTCGCCCCAGGTGATGAGCTCCTCCCTCAGTGTCCGGTCGCCTACCAGCTCCCCAAGCCGCTTGAAGTCCCCTTCCATGGCTGTTCCTTCCCCTGCGTGGGTGCCTTCTCCAAAAACCACTCTTTCAAGTCCAGGAGTCAGCCAGAGCAAGCAGCCCATCAGCATGAACTCAGCATCTTCCCTGGGAGGGATGGAGCAGGGTAAGCTGGCATGTGTGAGCCGCCGCTGCGAGCAAACGCGGGCGCATGGGAGCATGCATAGGCGTGGGCCCGAGTGCCCTGTGCCCCGACAGCCTCTGTGGCCCTTTGTCTCGTGTCCTCTGACACCAGGGACTCAGTGCAGCTTTACCCAATGTGCCACAAACTCTGTCAGCCATGTCCTGCCCACCCCGTGTGTTAGCCAGTTACCCCAGCACCAGGGCTGTCTGGCCACACGAATCACTGAGCCTTTGCTTGATTTGAAGGAAATATTTGAATTGCAAAAATTAACAGCCCCTTCTCAGGGTGATGGTGCTGCTTCCCTTCCCCCTGGACTTCTCCTTTTGGTGCCACATGCTGGCCTTGGGCAAGAGCTGTGGCACTGGGGAGAAGCAAGCAGGTGCTTAGACCGGGGAAGTCTGTGCTGAATGAACCTGCTCAGCCCTCGCCACTGCTGCCCTCCCAGGGGAGATTAATGCCAGCAGCTGCTTAGTCCCCAGTGGGATCCCTGCTCTCTCGTTCCTGAGAAGGGAGACAGGCCGGCCAGTCTGGAAGGCGGTGACTGCTCTTGTGGGGAAGAGGCGAAACTGAGTTAGAGATGAGGCGGAGGCTTCAGCCTCCCGCATCCCACTGCTCAACAGGTAAAGGCCAGAGTCACAGGCAGTGCAGCACGAGAAGGGTGTTGGTAAGTGCGTGTGCGCACGTGGTGTTGGACAAACCTGTCGTGCTGCATTCCAAAGCCCGGGGAGGCTGCACGGTGTCTTGGGCTGGTGCCCACGTGCCTGTTTCCTGGTGTCTCTGTGTCTGGGCGATGTCTTGCAGGGGGCAGGGTGGGTTAGGTCTGGGTTGAATTGTGGAGGCCAGGCAACCTAATGGATAGAGCAGGAGCCCGGGAGTCAGGACTTGGTGGCTGGGCTCCTCCCTGTGCCCCTGTCGCTTTGGCGGGCCTTGTCACTTCTCCTCTGTGCCAGCTGTCCCTGCTTCTGAGGGGAGCTTGTCCTTTCCTCGGGTATCCCTGGAAGACTGCTTCTGGCCACCTCCTCCCTACCCACCTGCTCTGGGACTGTTCTAAGTCCTCCACTCCACATCTTTTCTGCTGCGTCCATCTGGAGGGGTGAAAAGCAGGTGCCTCTCCCTGCACTGGGGAGCTCTGTCTTGTCCCTGATGTCTCCAAGCAAGACTGACCTCCCTTCCCCCAGCAAACCCTCATATCCTGTCCATGCTTCAAATGCTTTGTGCCCATCAGCTCCTGTTTGCCTGAGGAGGCCTTGAGGGCATGCGGTGCTGCAGTGGAGGCCCCTGGAAATGCTGGGTGCTTGATCCCAACTACTCTGACACTGCAGGGTGGGGGTTGCTCACCGGATGCTCTGCACACATCAACCCCATCCCCTGCTGCCCGCCAGGGCAGGTGTCAGCCAAGCCTTGCCACCAGCCATGCATTTCTCATGCAGACGCGTGTGCTTACTTGTGCATGTTTGCACATACAGTGCCATAGGTTTGTGGTCTCTGTGTGGGCTCTAGACACTGGGCTTTTGCATTGAGGTTCCAGCTGAGATTTGAAAATAAGCCATGGGGGGAGGGGTGGGGCAAAGCACTCTCAACTCAGGTCAGATACCAGCTCCCACTTGGTGCCCTCTGTCCCAGAATCAGCCTCTCTCCTTCTCTGACTAGGACAGTGAGCAGTGGGTCCAGTCAGGACGCTGGGTTTGGACTGGAGCAGGATGCTGGCACAGCTTAGGGTGTCTGGCGCTGAGGCCGCTATGCAGTGACATCCCAGCACGGCATGTCCTTGGTCCTGTGGGCTCAGTTCTGGGCCAGGCTGGGTTGGTCTTCGTGGGCTCCTCTGCCATCCACTGTCCCTGGCGAGAGCGCTAAGCTGGTTTCTCTCTTGCTTGCAGGTTCTCTGCCTCCTGGGCCTAGGAGCAGTTCCTCCGCACCAGCCAGTAACCCCTCTAGCACCCTGAATCCCAACATGCCTTTTACTTCCTCTCCAGATCCATCCCCCTCCCAGAACCCCCTCTCGCTGATGATGTCACAGATGTCCAAGTACGCCATGCCCAGCTCCACGCCACTCTACCACAATGCCATCAAGACCATTGCCACCTCTGATGATGAGCTGCTCCCAGACAGGCCCATGCTCCCGCCGGGAAGCATGGCAGGTACGTTCGTGCAGGGAGAGAAGGCTGCAGCTGGGTCTTAGAGGGACAGGATCAATCCAGTGGCTGCAGGCCTGCCAGGGGGAGAGCAGGCCACCTGGCTTCTGCTCCCATCTCTGTGAAAACGTGTGGCTCAGCAGTGGCACCTGCCCCACCACCCTACCCCAGGGTGTAATCAGGGGCCTTGGCACTCTCTGCTCCCTGGATGCCATGGACTAAGCTGCTTCACTGGAGCTGCAGAGCTGCTATCCCCCGCAGCCTCCTGTTTGTTACCAGTTTGTGAAGCCCTTGGAGCCTGGGGCAGAGCAGTGCATTGGTTCACGTGGCTGCGGGTGCAGGGCTGTTCTGGTGTCTGCTTCTCCTTGCCAGCCCAGGGCAGGGTGTGTGCATGGGCAAGGGACCGGATCTGCAGCTCCTCCTCACCCCCCCCAGTCATCTCATCCTGCTGTGCACAGCTCCCCCCACAGCCATCTGCTCCAGGGTCTCTCCCTGCACTTGGGATGTCCCCAGCTTTTCCTGTCCCCCGGTAAGAGCTGATTTCTAGGATCTCCAGCACAGAGCGTTGTCTTGTATGGTACTCCGGCCTGTCCCTGGCGGGATGGAGGTTCTGGGCAGAGCCTGGCTACTTGGCTGGGTGTGTAGGCTGCAATGCCCGAAGAGTCAGAGCCGTGTGGCTGAGGTGCTGTGTAAGAGCTCTTCAGCTGAACCTTCAGAACAGCGTCGGCAGCCCTCCGTGGCACAGGGAGCATGAGGGAGGGGAGCAGAGTGCATGGCCAGTGCTTTTGGTTTGGTGGCTGAACTGGAGGGAAATAAGAAGTCTCCAATCAATGGAGACACTTGGGTTTGAGGTTTTTAAACCCTTAAAAAAACTGGCAGTTTTCCAAATTAAGAATCAGCAACTAGCGTCTTTTTTCCAAACTTGTTGATAGTTATTTTGACTGTGAGGATCTGCAGAGCTGGGCCCAGGTGGGCAGTTGTGGAATCCCCATCACTGGAGGTGTTCAAGAAGCATAAGCATTGGTCAGGGATCCTCCAGGAAAAGCTATGCCCAGATGAATTGCTGGGAGGTAACAAGAGCTCTGGTGCCCAAAGCTGAGGGAGATTGGATAGGCTGTGGTCAGTTATAAAAAGAGGACACAGAAAGGAAACTGACTGTCCGGTGAGAGGGTGTGATATGTGGGTTACCCCTGCTGTTCCCAGGTTGCAGAGCAGAATGAAGGGTGTTTGTTTTTCCTAGGCTTCTGGGCTTTGCTGGGTGCCATATGAGGCCAGGAAGGATGTTTTCCCCTTTCCTGTTGCTACAGGTATATGGGGGACTTTGTTGCCTTCAGGCCAGGATGGGGATTGTGACTGGGCTGTGCAGTGCTCCAGCTGGGACTAAAACCTGGATGTCCCTGGCTAGAGGACTGTGCCCCTCTGCTTGGGAGTCAGGCCGATTGCCACATTTGGGGTCAGGAAGGAATTTTACCACACGGTCAGATTGGTACAGATGGGGGTTTTGCTGTCCTCTGTAGCAGGGGGCACGGCCTCTGCCCAAGATCTCTCAAGTGCATTTCCGGGTGTATTTTGCTAACAGCAGTGGGACCATTGTCCCCTGCTTTACCTGGGCAGCTTTGCATGCTTTCGGTGTCCTCGGACAACGCGCCTGTGCGACAGGCTTGATTGTGCATCTTTGGGAGGTTTAGACAGGGCTGATCCTGCCTCGAGCGGGGATCAGGTCGATGCCCTCTGGGGTCTCTTCCACCTTATTTCTCCAACTATAACTGTGGCCCCCTGAAGCTGCAGCTCTGGCAACAAAGAAACCTGACCCAGCTCTAGCAGTGTGAACGTGCTGGAGCTGGGCAGTGCTGGGGGTGCGAGTCGCTCGCTCGTTCTCACTGTCCACGGCCAGGGGATAATGCCTCGTACTAAACTCCCTCCCACCCTCCTGGCTGTGACTGTGCCGACAGGGTGCTCCCCTGTGCTGGGGTTGCAGTGTGGCCTGCGCAGCAGACGGCTCGCATGGTGAAGGCACCGTGGGAGCAGCAGGCTGCTAGGAGCCCCAAACCTACCTGTGCCCCGATGGCAGGTTGTGGCAACAGTCCCTGACCCGAGGTTCTTCCAGGCGAGGGTGAAACTCCACTACAGGGCCAGGCTGCTCCGGTGCCTGGAACCTATTGCCAGCCAGCCAGTGCATCACGCTAGCACACTGACCCTCTGGGCCAGAGATGGAAGTGCTGGTCACCAACCACTTGCTCTGGCTGGCTGCTCTCCTCTGCGGAGCGGTGCTGTGGTGAGAACAGTGGGTCTGACACTGCAGGCTGGGACTGGGGCTGCTCTCTGCGTGGCTGCTGCTGGGATGGGCTGCCAGTGGCTGGAGAGGTGCAGGGACACAAAGCTAACCCTCTTCTCTCTCTCCCCATCAGGTGTTGCAGGAAACCAGCCAAATCAGCTGCACTTGAACTCGGTGGGGCCCGCATCCTCGCAGAGCCCCATGGGGATGAGCCTGCCTGGCCAGCAGCCACTGTCCCATGAGCCCCCCACCTCCATGATGTCCTCGCCAAACCCCCTGGGCTCCAACATTCCAATGCACCCCGGGGCGCAGGGGGCGGGCATCCCCAGCCAGAACCCCATGATGCTGCCCCCCGGGCATCAGGACCCCCTGAACCAGCAGTGTGGCCCTGTGCCCAACAGCTCTCAGATGATCCCTTCCAGCCAGCTGGTGTTCCCCCGCATGCAGCAGCCTCATGGTGCCATGCCATCGCCAGCCGCAGGTATGCCCATGGCCCCCGGAGGCGGTGGCGGCCCTGGCCTGCAACAGCACTATCCCCCGGGGATGGCCTTACCACCAGAGGACCTTCCCTCCCAGCAGCCTGGCCAGATGCCCCCACAGCAGCACCTGATGGGCAAGAGCATCCCTCCTCGGATTGGCGAGCCTTACCCCGCGGTGCTCCCAGGGGTGGCCTCCGTGCTGAACGACCCTGAGCTAAGCGAGGTCATTCGCCCCACACCCACGGGCATCCCCGAGTTTGACTTGTCCAGGATCATCCCCTCTGAGAAGCCAAGCAGCACCTTGCAGTATTTCCCCAAGGGCGACACCCAAGTTCCGAAATCGCAGCCTTCCAACCTCCACCTCATGAACCTGCAGAACATGATGACAGAACAGACCCCCGTGCGCCCGGGCATGGCGGCCCCCAGCCTCCCGGGGCAGCAGAGCGTGCAGCGGGGACTTGGCATGCCCATGTGTCACCCGGGACAGGTGCCCGTGCTGGGCAGGACAGGCATGCCGCCGCAGCAGGGCATGATGGGCAGCAGCATGCACCAGGGCGTGATGTCCCCGCAGCAGAGCCTCATGGCGCAGCAGAACTTCATGCTGATGCAGGCCAAGCAGAGGAGCATGTCTGTGTCGGGGGAGATGTACGCCCAGGCCGGGCACATGATGTCACCTCAGGGCTCCCTTATGGGGCCCCCGCCTCAGCAGAACCTCATGGTCACGCACCAGATGAGGCAGCGGAGCGTCTCCCTGGACAGCCAAATGAACTACCTCCCCGGGCCGGGGAACATGGCCAACCTGCCCTTCTAGCCGTGCCCGGGTGTGGGGGGGGCTGGGATTACTGGGCAGGCGGGGGCCAGGCCTAGGGGCCGTGGGGGTGTTCTCCACATCGGACGTGCCTCTGTGCGGAGACCAGATGTGCAGCAAACGTGATGTGAATCCTTTCTTTGGGGGGAGGGGGGAGCTGGGATTGGAGTCGCTATGAGACCCGCGTTGCAGCCAGGGGCTCCCAGATCCTGCAGCAGTTGTAAAATGTTCAGTTATTTTTTTCCTCTTAGAGTGGGGTTTTTGTTTTGTTTTTTTATGTTGTTTTTTTAAAGCAACCAAAATGTCAAAAGGGGTTTGAACTAGCTGTAAATAGGTCGCTGGGAAAGGCAAAACTTGTGCTGGTTTTTAATTGTTCTGTATTTCTGTGTTTTAATAGAAGCCTCAAAATCTGTTTGAAAAAAACAAAAGCACACAACAAAACTTGACAGCAAGTCACCAAGCCAGGGCGGGCCGAACCCCCGCCCCTCCCCGAGGCCGTGAGAGCAGAGGTGCGGCATGAGGGCTTGTGCCAGAGCAGCCGCTACTCTCTTTGCAGAGGTGTGTGCAGCCCCCAGGCCATGTCCTGCAGCTTGACCCCAGGCGCCAGCTCTGCAAGCTACTCCTTGCCTGCTCAGAGCGGCCACGGCAGCACTTTGGCCTCTGAGGCTGCCCCTGGGCGTGCTGTGCAAGCCTGCCCATGCCCATGCCCATGCCTGTGCCTCCCCTCCTGCTGCTGGAGCCCTGTCTGCTCCAAGTATTGCCTCCTGCTGCCCCCTGCCCTGCCCGTCCTCCTGGAGCATTGCCTGCCCCCCCGCGCCTGGCTGTGGGGGACGAGGTGCTGAGCGCCACGTGTGCTGGCTCTGGCCACGCTGGGCAAGCCTTCCCGAGGGGCTCTGCACACAGAGCGCTGGGGCTCGGGGCTGCTGGCTGCCAGTGCCAGGACTGTGGTGGCCGGCCCAGCCCCATGCAGCCACAGGCCCCGCACCAGGTTGGCCAGGGAGAAGACGAAGCCAGCTTTCCTCACCCTGCTGGAGCGCAGCGGCTGCTGCGGCCGGGGCTTGGCCGGCCGGGGGGTTGCGCCAGGGCCGGGGTCAAGCGCGGGCTTCTCACGTCCAGCCGGGGCCCAAGGGTGCAGTCACCCAGCCCGGCTGGGGGCGCCCAGGCCCTGCTTCACAGCTGGCTCCGTCCCCTTTGGTGCGGCCTCCACCGGGAGGAGCTGCGAGTGGGGTTGCCGCAGCACACCACGCTCCCCAGATCGGGCTGGGCCGGGCACAGCAGGCCCGTCGCTCTGTGCTGGTCTGGGGGTGCCTGGCCGGGCGCCAGCACCCACCAGGGGAGCTCTGGGCCGGGCTAGTGTCAGCCACCCCGTGCCCTCCTCGGGCGGGTCAGGCAGCCCCCCGTCAGAGCTCCCACGCCTCGGCCTCGGCCTCGTGTCCCACACCGCTCCCCACCGTGCGGGCCACCGGAGCCGGGCTGCGCTGAGGCCAGGCTGGGCCAGGGAAGCCACGGACAGCACGGGCAGGTAGGTCCGTGCCTGGGGTGGGCCTGTGAGGAGCGTGGAGGCCAGGGCTGGGACCAGGTCAGACTTGCCCGTGTGGGGCTGGGAGCCGCTGCCTCGCACACCCCTTCCCCACCCCTGCTGCTTAAGGGCTGGGGTCTCCCACTGCACCGTGCCCCAGCTCCGCAGGCCCCGGGCCTCCCCTCAGGCCGGGGTGGAGGGTGGGCGGGGCAGCCACTCCCCTGTGCCTCGGCCATGCCCGAGCGCTGGGGCTGCTGCCCCTGGGCCGGCGTGGCAGCGGGAGCCGCCAGTGGGCAGGGGGCCTGAGACGAGCACCCTGAGTTCACAAAGTGGCCCCAGCTCAGCTGGTGGCAGAGGCCAAAATGGGCCAGCACCACAAGTCCGCCGTGCAGCGCGGCTGCAGACGGACGGCCCAGGAGCTGCTTCCCTCGGCCTGCGCTGCAGCAGCTCTGCTGCAACGCGGCTGAATCACCCGGGGCTGGCGAAGGGCTGCACACGCTGAGGGGTGGGTGACAGCGGAGGAGGTGGGTGACTGGCACGTGTCTGTGCAGAGCAGCTCTGGCCCCAGCAGCCACTGGGCACCTGCGGTTCAGCTCAGTCGTTGGAGCTCAAGTTTTTGCTGCCTCAGCCTAACGCGTGGGATTTCCACCAGCCCCTCGTGGCAGGCAGAGCGGAGGCATCTGCAGGCACAGCACAGCGCAGAGCAAAGCCAACCTGGGATCTCGTTTGCACACCTACCCCACCCCAGAGACAGGAGCCAAGACCCCAGGGAGTTTGTTCCCTTCCCTGTGCTGGTTTGCTCTGGACTGATGGAAATTCTTGTACTCGGCCCCCCAGAAACATGCAGCCACCAAGCCCCAGAGGAGCCCGTGACCCTTCAGCCCCAGAGAAAGGAGCAGTTCTCCTTGGTCTTCAGACTCGGGCAGCACCTGTGACAGTGTGGTTAGGGCTGGAGCTGTGCTGAGCCAGGGAAGGGTCTTCCTTAAAGACGGTTGCCTGCGCACCCAGAGTTGCCTGCTCTCAGATGTCAGGACCTGGTGTGATCAGCAACGGTTACACGGGGAGACAGTGAGCAGGGGAGTTTGCAGCTGCCACAGGAAAGGCACTCCTAACCATCAAGCCCTTGGAGATGGGTGCAGTGGGAGTCTTGAATGTCGTCCCCGTAAAGTAGAAACAAGCAGCCTGGTGCAATGGCAGACCTCCTGAGAAATGGGCCTTGATTGCATGGGGCTCAGTGCCTGGGCTGGAGGCAACTGGCTCAGTAAGCAGTGGCTGGGCTTGCATTGCTGCCTGGCCAGACAGGCCAGATGTGCTCAGCCTGCTTTGCTTGGGTCTGGGCTTTGGCCACGTGTTCAATGCACACGGTAGCCAGGGGAAGCAGCTGGCAAGTCTCGGACATGTGAATGGCTGTTGGACCTCGGCCTCACGCGGAGCGAAGAAGGCGCTACGGCTGCTCCTGCCGCACGGGCCTGGGGCTGGGGGCCGGGGGCCTGCATCATGTGGAGTCTGTGCGCCGCAGGCCAGGGCTGCAAGGCTGGCTCCAGCCCGTGCCCGTGTCCTCATCAGAAGGTGGAGATGGACGTGGTGTTGTCGGACTCAACCCCGCTGCCCCTCCTTGTCACGTCCAGGATCTCCTGCAGGGTCTCGTGGCTGATGCAGCCCAGCTCCTGCAGGATGCGGAAGAAGTCGTTGCGGAACTTGACTCCCACAAAGGCGTACAGGATGGGGTTGAGGCAGCACTGTGTGAAGCCGATGGCCTCTGTCACCAGGATGCTGGTGCCCAGCTGCTCCTCCACCAGGCAGTCCTTTGAGAGCACGCCCAGCTTGGTCAGCGTGTCCAGGAAGATGACGATGTGGTACGGGCTCCAGCAGAGCAGGAACACGGCTGTGACCACGATGGCAATTCGCACGGCCTTCTGCCTCTGCAGCCGCTGCGACTGGCACAGGGTCCTGACGATGGCTGCGTAGCAGTAACACATGACTAGCAAGGGCATGAAGAAACCCACAATGTGGTACAGAAAGCGGGTGGCCAGCCACATGTCGTTGCCATGAATCCCCATCTGTGGGAAGTAGCAGATGCTGCGGTTGTTGGTGTCTTTCCAGACCTCCATGAAAATGAGGTCGGGCAAAGTCAGCACCAGTGAGAAGACCCAGATGGCTGCGCAGGTGATGTGGATGGCCCTGGCCCTGCGCCTCCGGTAGGTGTGGATGGCGTACACGATGGCTAGGTAGCGGTCCACGCCAATGCAGCCCAGCAGGATGCTGCTGCAGTAGAAGTTGATCTTGTGCACAGCGCTGAGAACCTTGCAGAGGAATGTCCCGAAGATCCAGCCAGCCAGGTTCTCAATCACGCTGAAGGGGAAGGTGAGCACCAGCACCATGTTGGCCAGGGCCAGGTGGAAGAGGAAGCTCTCCGTGGTGGTGCGGGAACGCTTGCAGCGCTCCAGGATGGCCAGGACCAGGGCATTGCCCATGGTCCCCAGGAGGAACATCAGCAGGTAAATGAGGGGCATGAAGATCTTTCTGAACATGTTTGCAGCTTCGTTAGTCAGTGACGAGGTTGACTCGGGGCACAAATAGTTGTCTAAGTCATTGGTGGTGTTTTCAGCGTCGCCGTAGCCACTCATCTCCATCAGGATCTGCTGAGCAAAAGAAGAAGCCTGTTGTGGGTCTCAGCGTCTGCACAGCTGGACTCTTCCCCAGGGGGAAGCCCAGGGACTCAGGCAGGAGCAGAGCTGTGGTCTGGCAAACTTCCTGCCTCTGACCGGAGCCACCATCAGCTGAAGTTACCCGTGATGGCTGCACCCACTGGTCGTCTGTCCCATGAAAGCCTGCAGAAGCAGGTGTGGGGTAGTCTGCCCCTGGAGGGTCTCATCCTGACCTCCAATAGGTACAGATTGGCTTGAACCCTGAAGTGGGAAGCTTTGTCTCCCTTCCAATCCTTGCCTCGGTATCAGTCGTGAAACTATTTCTGGACGGTCTCGCTATCCGAACAGATATCCAAGCTCTCTTTAAAGCCAAGTTCCTGACCTCTGGCAATTAGCTTTTCCTCCTATTCATTTGAATTTGCCACTTAATCTCATTGATTTTTCCCTGCCCCCGTGTCCCGGATGTTTCCGGCCTGCCTTCCCTCTCCTTGCATCACATTTTGTTTCTCCCAGGGCCCTCCTAGTCCCCTCGCTCCCGTAAACACCCACGCTCCACTTTCTCTTTGTGGGAATTTCTCTAATTTCCCTGGAGTGGTGTTGGGGTGTAGTGCCTTGCGGAGAGCCTCAATGGTTTGCAGAGAAGGCTTGAGACTACTTTGTGACCCATTTTTCAGCCTGTTCCTTATGTCCCTAGATACCTCCCGCACTGTGGCTGCTACGTGCTGGGGAGCACTCTCTGTGGAGGTGTAGCCCCCGGGTCCCTGACGGGCCTGGGGAGCAGCTCCTGTTGCCCTGCAGGAAAAGGCCGGGTTGAGGGCAGTGGCAGGACTGTGCTGCTGTGTCAGAACAGCTGGCTGGGAGCTGGCCGGCACAGGGAGGGCGAGTGCTCGGGGCGGGTGGGCAGAGATGCAGGGGAGCGACGTGAGCCAGGTACGTGGGCAGCACGACGGCGGGCAGAGGCCGAGGGGGGCGGCTCAGAGCGGCGGGTGCCGCAGGGCAGCGTGTGCGTGACGCGGAGACCCCCGCGGGATTCTGAATGAGCGGCACCCGTGCCGGAAAGCGATGCAGAAATGCTGCTGCGTGCCTCCGGCAGCAGGCTCGTGCCCACGCAGCCTGTATGAAACGACTACGTGCTCTGGTCACGGGAGTCAGCAGTTCCACACACCGAGCAGGGATTGACTAAAGATCCCGAGCACGAGCCTGACAGCATCTCAGGCAGAGGGCAGTCCTTGGGCCAGACAGGCCAGAGTGGGGTCCGCCCTTGGCCGGGGCAACACCGCTGAGAAAAGGGAGCTGCAGGCACGGGAAGGGGCAGAGCAGAAACGAGAAACCTGCCTAACAAAATGGGAAGAATGCCCCAGCACCCCTCCCCCCCCCCCCCCCCCCCCCCCCCCCCCCCCCCCCCCCCCCCCCCCCCCCCCCACCTTCCCTGGAGACCAAGACTGAGACTTGATCAACCACAGCGGAAGTCTCTGCTTGCTGTTTTCATACCTTTCACTGCCAGCTGTAGCCACCTGCACCTGCTGCTCTTCCTTCCATCGGCCATAGTTCCCGTCTAAAAATACGAGCCCTTCTCGAGCTGTTTCAGAGCTAATTTTATTTTGTTTTGCTCACGTTTTTCTTTTAGAAGTCTCTTTGGTATGCCATGAAGCACCGTGATGGTCAGTAATCATACAGCCTGCAGCCCTGGCCTGGCGCTGCCTGGCAGAGGCGGACATTGCCTGCCTCAGGAAGTCCCACGCTGGCCCTGGGAGCACCGCTGCTGCCCTGCCTCACCTCTAGCAAGAGCAGCCCTGCTCAGGGTCAGGAGACCGCCGGGCTATCTCAGCTTGGACTCGCAGTGGCAGGAAGCAGCTGAAGTAATGAACGTTGCATTTGTCTTTGCGCTGCAGTGGGCGAGACCCTGGTAGATTCCTGTTCTCATTTCCCCTCCTCTGCTTGGGGCGGCACAGGGCCCACACCACCTCTTCCTGGGACACGCGTGAGGGTGTCGGTCATAGGCCCGAGTCCTCCCCCTCCCAGCGCGATACTGCAGTCGCTCCATTTTCTGCCTTCCTCTGCGGCAGCAGCAGAGCCGGTGTCCTGTGGCCCTGGCCCGGTCCACAAGAGACAGCTCTGCACTTCTACCTTGTCCCCTGGGACTGCACGGGCGGAGCAAAATCCCGAGAAGCTTCTAAACTGCCCCTGCCATCCCCGTTGTCTTCCTGTCCCTGGGGGCGGCCTACGCCGGGAGTTAGTGCCGCCCGCACAACCCGCGTTAGCAGCACCGAGCAGGACGCGGGCAGGAGCCCTCGTGCCAGCCCTGCCGCCTGGCAGCCACCGACCCTGCAGCTGGGCAGAGGCCTCCTCGAGGGCAAGGGCGGCGCTCCTCTCCGGGTGCCCACTGCCACGGTGCCAGCTGCAGGCCAGTGGCTGCTGTTTCGGCTCTGGGCGTGATCCCCACCCTGCAGGGTTTGCAGCTCTCCAGGGGCAAGGGGAGGGTGTGTTGGAAGCCCTGGAGGAGACAGGCCTGTCAGCAGAGGGTGGGCTCAGCCGGCAGGCACACGGGCAGAGGCAGCACGGTTAGTTGTGCCAGTGCAGTGCAGTGACAGCCCTTCCGGCCTGGGCAGCGGCTGCGCTGCACTCCGTGACCCCACTGCGGTGCAGTTGCTAGCGTCACCTTGCGCTGGGAGCAGAGGCGCAGCAGGCGAGCGATGCTATCAGCCACCATCTCATCTCTGATAAGGCAACAGGTAGGGTTTAAACCGTCAGCCGGTGGCCTCAGGCTGGGAGCGTGCACAGCGCTATGCCTGAGAGGTCTCATGCATCTCCAGGCGTGCTGGGCGAGAGGGTGTGGGCGGGCACAGTCGGGCCTGTTAGATGCAGCAGAAAACAAGCGGGGACCAAAAACAGGAGCTGAGGCAGGGCAGGTTGGATCGCAGCTGCAGCAGCTGCAGACAGCGTACGCCACTAGGGCTGCAGGAGCTTCCCTGGGCCGTGAGGGCCCCCATCGCAGCTGTCCCCAGCCCCGCGAAGCTGTGGGGGACGCTGCAGTCGGCAGAAGTGGAGGAGGGAAGAAGCAGCATCTCTGCCTGTTCCTGCCTCTGGCACACCTGTGCTTGCCTGTTCACTGCTCCCTCCCCTGCTCGTCTCTCTCTCTCTCTCTCTCACACACTCGTGTAAACGGGAGTGGCCTGTGCCCCTTCTGCTGCTCGTTCCTAGCCTGGGGTGGGAGCCATGCTTGGCTGCTGTGAAGCGAGTGTGAGGTTACTCGCACCTGGCTTGCACACTCCGGTACGCCAGGGAAGGGGACGGTGCAGCGGTTTCTGTTTGTCACCTCTGCTGTTTGTGTGAAGGGCTGGGGAGCAGAGCTGCACCAAAGAAATGCTGACTTGTGGGCTCACTTACTGGCACATGCACACCCTGTGCTCGAGCTTAGGTATGTAAAGGTTCCTCCGGCACAGGAGAAAGAAGTCGTTGCCCTTGTATGGTGCCTTGTGGGGACTGCACAGAGGTTCAGGACCGTTCACTGCAACGTTTTTTATGCCTGGGGAGGCTGAGGCTTGAATACTAGACAAGCCTCTTTGTGTGACTGCTGGACTAAACCAGTCCTGGGCAACATCTGGACTGGGAAGAGACCCTCTGGCCCTGTAGCCTGGTCATAAGGCACGATGGGAGAGAGAGCCATCTCTTCATGCCCATGGTCCTGGGTTTTTATTCCAGGTTCACTCCATTGGGTGGAGATGTCCATTGCTCCTTTGCTATTAATGTGCTCATAGCTGGGAACCGCAGGAGGTTTCAGCTTGCTGCTTGGATGGACGTTAGCGGGAGAAGGTGCAGTTTTGCTCCAAGGGCAGACAGTGGATGTGTCTAGGCTGGTTCAGACAGGGCTGATCCTGCCTCAGGAGGGGGTTGGACTGCATGTGACCTCTGGAGGTCCCTGCCAGCCCATCTCGACTGTGAGTCTATGACTGGGACTCTAGGATCCTTCCTTTCCCGAGGATTCGCCCTGTGGGATTCGCCCTTAGTACATGTGAGCTCCTGCCTCTGGAAGGGAGACCGGTTAACTGGTTGCTGTAGCTCTCGCATGCGCGCCAGGCATGCCCTCTGCAGGAGGGACTGACCTGCTCCTGCCCTCGCACACGCCTGGCAGTCCTCGTGCCACGGACATGTGCTGTCCCTGCATCATTGCAGCTGAGCCTCAGTTGCAGCAAGGAGGGCTGTGGAGTCGTGGTGCTAGGGGCCGTCCCCACCAAATGAACATGCTCTGTGGCACTGCTGCCCCCTGCGCTGCCTGTTGGTGTCTGCCGTGGGCTCTGTGCTAACTGCTGGACCTGGGTCAGTAAGATGCAAGGCGGCAAACGCAACCTTACCCGGCATTCTGCTACTTGGGTACTTTACAGTGATGAAGCCGTTCGGAGTACGGCGGGGCAGGGGAAGTCGGTGCTGGTGTGAAGGTTTGGGGGTGGGGGGAGCCTGTGATGCAAAGCTTCCCCGCCTGGCACTATGCCTTGAGCCCTGCTCACACCCCGGCCAGCCCGGCACTGGGCACGCTGTGCCCGTCTCTTGTTCGTTCCGTGGGGGAGCGAACCCAGTTTTGCCCCAGCTAAACTCCAGGCTTGTGCTGCTGCCCAAGCTTTCCACTCAGGGCCAGGTAGGGCTGGGCACAGCAAGAGTCTTCTGAAGGGAAATACCAGGGGAAACGAAACCTGTTCACTCTGGTCAAAAGTCTTCCCGGGATTGTCACCAAAACAGAACTGGTTGTCTTGGTTTTCACGGTTCTGGCTTTTTCTCTTGCCTCTCCTTTCCCCCCTTTAAGGAAGAAGGGACTGGAAGGTGAGAGGAAAACCAGACTGACATGGGTTGGTTTGGTTTTTTTTGAACAGACATGAAAACTATTGTTTCCCTGAAAAAGCTGCTTTTCATTTAAAACAGAAAGAGGACGAATTTCTGAAATGCTCTACTTAAAAGCAAGGCTGGGAGGTTCACTGGGCACAGCACCGTTGTCTTTTAAGTGAGCCCCTCCCCTGCGCATCCAACACCTGCGGCAGGGCAGGGCAGCCGCACCCCCGCGGACACAGGACAGGTATCCGAGGCGCACGTTCTCCCCAGTTAGTCCCCAGCTGAAGGACTGCTACAGGCCTGTCCTGGGCAGGCTCGACCCTCTGCCTGTGGGAGGGCTGGATGGAGACAGGCAGGGAGCACGCTGTCCCACTGCGGTAGGAATAGGTCTTGGGCGTGTGGCCAGGCATTCTGGTGCCTTGCCTGGCTGCTTCCGTGACAGTCTGGGGGCTGATTCCCCCGGCCCGGCAGGCTGTGCAGTCCCTGACACCACTACAAAGTCAGCACAGGGGTTTGCAGCCACTCCGGGCTGCTGTAAATGGCTGCACAAGGACAAGAGACGCAGGCTTGGCTTTGCTGGCAGTGCAGCAGAGTTCCCACCCCGTGGCACACGAGGGAGAAAGGGCCATTCAGCAAGAACCTCCTGGCCCCTGGAACGGGAACCACAGGGCCAGCACCCCTTCCAGGAGGCCGGCTGTGCCCACTCCCCTGCCCTCGGTGCATAACCACATGGCCCTGCTCACAACGCAGCTTCCCACGAACTGGCAGATTGAGCAGGGTTGCACCTCGTTCCCGACGCAGCCGGCTCTACTGGGGGCTTCAGGCTCTGACTGGGGTGGGTAAACATTTCATCTTGAGACCAACCCAGCGGAAGGGAGGAAAGGGGTGGAGAAGGTTTAAAGCCAAGGCCCTTAGCCTCCTGTGCAAGTAGGGCCATGCTGGCCTGGAGATCCACTGCTACCACCCCCATCCTCAGTCCACAGGCCGCCTCGCCTCGCCTCCGTTCCAAGCCTGGCTTACCACGTCCGTGTTGTCCAGAGAGAAGACAGAGGACCCCATGGTCTCGGAGGCAGTGCGTCTCCTCTCTAGCAGGTTGACAGCCGCTCTGAAAGAACCTTTTTGCGGTGGGGTTAATAATTTAAGGAAGGAGGAGGACCCAGTCCTTACCAACAAAGAGCCTCGCCTTGCAGTTTTGCAATGCAAATTAGTACAAAGCTCACAATGACCTATTTGAGCTACAGATTAGTATCTTGTCTTTTCTTTACATAATCTTTAAAGTACAGTTTTGAATAATCAAAGGTTTCTGTAATCTGGTAGCTTTGCTTTGCTACAAAATATTTCCCTGCACAATGCAAATATCAGAAAGGTTTTTAGCAAGTCAACATGGAGCCCAGAGAGCTCAGGAATGCCTGATGCCAAGGAAGAGTCCAGCCAGAGACTTCAGCGGCATCGGTGATGTGCAAGGCGTTAAGATGTGCACTCGAGGGGAATGAGTGTGCCTTGGTCCCAGAGGTAGGGTTGAGTCATTGCCCTCTGACTCGACATCATTTTGGCTACTTTAGCTTTGACTGGCCATTAGCAAACTCCTCAGCTGCCTACTCTTTCTCCCTCTATTTCTACTCACTGTCCTGAAAGGTGGCATGGAAGGGTTTTCACTGGAGGACTATTGACCAAGTGACTGGTGTCACAAAGGGCATAGGTAATGAAATATATTGTGGATGCATCTACAACACCAGCAAAAGAGAGCCAGGTGCTGTGTTATTAGGAGGCCTGAGGATGATAGTCCAATAGTGTGCAGTCCTTCGGTGGAAGGGCAGCGTCTTTGCAATTTGCAATAGCTGCAGTGGGAGAGGGTGGGCAGCTCTGCGTTAGAGCCTGAGTGCTACGACCGAGCAGGGCAGTGCCCTGGCCTGCTGCCTCCCTCTTCCTTCCAACAGAAAGAAAGAAATCCAGTAAGTGCAGAGAAAAAGTTTGGTCAAGCATAGTCCCCCTCTGCCCCACAAGTCACAGCAGTGCAGCTGCACCGGACTGTTGTGCTGCAGAGGATGCTTGCGGGGAAGTCATAGCAAGACGCTGGGAGCCCCCGTTCAAGCCAGGTGTCCTGTGACCCTTGCCTATGAGGGGACCTGTTGATGGGAAGCAGGAAGTGGTGCTCAGATGCACCCATTCCCCCACCCCAGGGTGGTGCCTCCAGCTCCAGGCTTGTGGCCAGTAGTACACAAGTGCCACACAGCTCTGCAAAGCCTCCTCTGCCTCTTCCTGCCTGCAACAAAAGCCTTCACCCAAGACTCTGGCCTGCAGGAATCAGGAAATAAGGCTGAGCACGCAGGGGAGATGGGGAGGGCAGCCCGTGGGCGGTCCGCCGGCATGGGGTGCGGAAGAGTGTCCCTAGGTGCTGGAAGAGCTGGGGGCTAAAGGGACACGTCTTAGCTAACCATGCGCTGGAGGCTGGGCTGTAGAGGCTCTGTGAGGATGCAAGCGCGGAGGAAGAAGAGCCCCGGTTAGAGAAGCCAGGTACGCCGTGCATTGCAGTTCCAGTGATTGAGGCTTTATTCTCAGCTCTGCGCATGGCCTTGTGCAGGTTCCTCTGTCCTCCCTGTGCCTCTGTTTCCCCCTGAGCACACCAGCCATCAAGGTTTTGATAAACTTGATAAAGCACTTGGAAGTCTGCAGTCAAACAGCCATATCAAAGCCTGTGGCATGAATTGGAAATGGAGGGCCGTGCCTCCGAGCACTGGGAACCTGGGGCTAGAAATCTCCCAGAAATGAGAGCTGCGGGGCAGCCTCCCCAGAGGCAGACCAGAGGCCTCCATCCCAGAGACACCAAGTAAGCGCCTGTGGCTGCCCTGTGGGCCCTGAGGACAGGATGAGATGGGGCCTGCCACGCCACCCTCTCTACACTTGTCACGCTTAGGTGGCGGGCTGCTCGGCTACGAATTGTTCAGACCCGGACAGGCCCGCACCCCTTGCTGCAGCCAGTCTTCTGCAGACGCAGCCCAGCTGTCAGAACGGTGCTGGGGGGAGATGGCCAGCCAGGAGAGAAGCATGACCTGCAGCCTGGCAGCCAAAAATCCAGACGTGGCACCCAGCTCCACAGGAAACGGAAGTGGCGAGAGTGCACGCTGGAGGGAACTTAGGAGCGAGGCATCCTTTCCTGCAAGGCCTTGGCAGGACGGCTCGCCGTGATCATGCCCGAACGTCACCAGGCCCGACGGAGCGAGAGGGCGTTCTGCGCACAGCAGCAAGGGGCAAAGGGGCTGTCATCAGTCCCAAGACTGAGGGCATGCTGCTTCCTGGCCGGCAAAACGTGCCTCTGCAACCTGCGGGGGAGAGTTCTGGCCGGGTGAGCGATTTGCTGCTGCCGGAGTCCAGGCTCAGTCCAAACCTTCCTTCTGGAAGAGCATGGTGGGGATCTCGGCTGTTTGAACAGGAGCTTTGTCACCCGGCCAGTTCCCTCTCCCTGGCCTCAGCAAAGGACAGCTATTTATTTAAAGAAAGATGGTATATAAGGTTTGGGGGAGGAAGGGAAGGACAAGAAAGCTACCCAACTTTGTTTAACTCAGCACTGGTATTTCCCCACAAGGTATGAGTTAAAAAGCAGCAAAGCCATTATAGGAGGTCTAGTCCTGAAAAACAACGTTGGGTCAAGCAAAAATAACTGTATTTGGTTGTATTTTAAATGCAAGAATAAACAAAAGTAGGTCTTTAAGATTAAGATACTCTGTTTTTAAAGGGAAAATGTTGAGAACTAAGATGAAATGAGACAGTGGTTTTCAACCTTTTTTTCATTTGCGGACCCCTAAAAAAATTTGAATGGAGGTGCACACTCCTTTGAATTGTAGGGGTAGGTATTCACCTACTTTTGACCATACTCATCTTTTGCAGACCCCTTAGACATAGTCTGCAGACCCCCGGGGTAGAAAACCACTGAACAAAGAGAACAAATTAGTGGAATTAGATGGACTAAAGAGCTCAAGGACTTAAATGCTGAAGCTTGGAATTTCTTTACAAGGAAGGTGCAAAAAGTATGGAACTTTTGTCCCAGTGGGGAGAAAACCTGGCTCCAATCCAGCCTCCCAGAAAAGGTATTAGGCACCAAGAGAGAAGCTATAAAGAATGGAAAAGGGGCTGACTGACAAGAAAGCTGTGTCTTAGCCATCAGGAAGTGTAAGGATAAAAATAGGAATGGCCAAAAGTCAAGCTGAGTTAGACCTTGCAAAGGAAGGAAATAAAACCACAAAGCAAAAAAAATAAAAATTCAGCAAGGAAAAAAATGGAGCTGAAGGAAAGCAGGATTAGAGCTGCTATGTACAGAGGATCAGGCAAATTAAAGGTAATCTGGCGGTGATCCAAAAAATGACAGGTACTTGTCTGTTTTCATTTAAGAAAGTTGCTGTTAGTCTACTAGAAGCGAAGACGTGGAAAGGGAAACTGCCACATTCTGGGTGGGAAAGAAAATCAAGTTGCTAAAAGCGCTCAAGTGCTGGGGACTAATAATCTCCATCTCTGAATTCGGAAAGAACTAGCCCCTGAAATCCCAGGTGCGTTAGCAAGGATTTTACAGAAAGAACCCTGTCAGCAAGGATGTTAATGTGTCAAGTCTGGGATAGTACTGTGTGATTGGAGAACGACAGATTTAGTACCTGCGTTTAGGAAGGGGGGGGGGGCGGTGGGGGATAAGGGAAGGGAGGTATCAAGGTCTGACCTCCATAGGATGAAGCTTTCAAACAACGTCTGAGCAAAGGAATAAAAAGCATAGATGTAAATGGGAAGTGAATACAACTGAACATAGGTTTGCCAGAGGTTGATTTTGGCAGGGGAGCCTAGTACTTTATTTTTTTGGTAACATAACCAAGGAAACTCAGGAGATCTAATCTATTTGGACCTTAGTGAAGTGTCCGATATGCTGTCACTCAGGAAACTCTTAGCTGAGGCAGAGGAAACGGGGGTCTGTAGAAGGAACGTAAGGTAGACGAGGAACTGACTGGAGAAGAGGAGACGATGGGTAGGTTTTGAAAGAGGAGGTCTGGGGCCAGGAGGATGGTTACTAGTGGAGTTCTGCAAGGATAAATCCTGGAATCAGTCTCATTTAAAATCCATTATGAGTGACTTCAGCAGAAAATAGTGAAAGTGTGCTAACGGATTTTGCTGTCATCCCAAAGCTGCGAGGCATCTTCAGTACAAGAGAACAATATGGGTCAGCTGGAAAGAAGCAGAGGAGCTTGTGGACTGGAGCAATAGAAATGGGATAACGTTTAATAGTACAGAGTGTATGGTCATGTACTTGGAGACTAATAACAGGAATGTCTGCTAGAAGCAGGGGCTCATCAGTGGGAAAGGACAGCGGAGAAAAAAGATCTGGGTGTTCAGTTAATCATGGAATGACAGGCAGCAATGTGAGACAGTTTGAAAAAGTCAGATGCAATCCTAGAATGTATGAGAGAGACCTGAGAGAGGGTGCTGTGGTACCTGGAAGCCTGTGTCCTTCCCAGCTAGTCGGTTAGTTCAGTAAGAGACATTGTCCACAAAAATTCTTGCCTTGAGAATGTATGAGACAAGATATTTGCAGCTGAGCTAGGGACTTCCTAGTGTCATCGTACAAGACGCACGTGAGACTTCCTTGGAATACCATGCTCAATACTTGATCATCCCTTCGCTGAAAGATGAATTAAACCTGCAATAGATGCACGGAAGGGTCACAAGGATGGCCACGAAACTGGGACTGAGATCCTGTCGAGTGTGTGTAGGTGGGGGAGGGGGTTGTCTGTCAGATACTTTGCCCGTGCTGTAAGTGGGGCAGTGGGCTTGGACCCAGGATAACAGGCTTTGTCCCACGAGAAAGCTGAAGTCTGAGTTTGACTTACTGAGCCTGGCACAACAAAAGCTGAGGGAATAGGGTTTTGCCCTATAAATAAGCCAGGGGGTACACACGGGGGAGGGAAAAGAGGTGTTGAAACTCCAGGACAGTGTTGGCTCTCAAACAAACAGGCACGAACCGGCTGTGGATTATTCCCGTTTCTAACAGTGGGAGCACTGAGGTTCTTCCCAGTCGGGACAGCGGGGGTGAACAATGCTGTTATGGTGGGCACGATCATTTCACGAAAGGGGTGTTGTGCCATTGCACCTGCAAGAACAGGGACTGGACGCGTCCCGTCGGGGCTGCGCTTACGCACGTGTAATTCAGATTCTCCGTGCTCCTCTAAAAGTGACAGAAACTGAAACACCGTGAGAGAACGTGAGCTGCCTGGTCACGCAGTGCCATCCCTGTGCCTTCACCTTCTTCCCTGCCATCATCATCACTGCAGGCCTTGCCATTCTTTTGCCGTCTTTTTCTGCCCCGGTACGCTGGCACCTGGCACAACAGATGCAGCCTCTCTCCCAGAGCAGTGGGAGCAAGGCAGCAGCGCACCCTTGGAGCAGGGCAGCGTTAGGGTGCAAGAGGGCGGCGCGCACCTGCACTTCTCAAGGGCAAGCAGGGTAGGCGGAGGCAAGGGCCCGTTGCAGCCTCCAGCCATGACAGCGCCTGCGACCCGGGCGCCGCACACGCCGAGACGGAGCCGCAGCGGGTCTCCGCCTCCGACTTCCCGCCGTCGAGCCTCCAGCGGGAGCGGGAGCGGGAGCGGCAGCGCGGCCGGGGCGGCTCCAGGGAGCG